GCTGAAAGCTAAAAGAAGCAAAAAGTAATAGGTGATAATAGTAGCAAACGGCTACCTAAAAGTAACTAAATGTAATCGATGATAAAAGTAGCAAGAGACTAGCTAAAAGCTGAGTGTAGCAAAAGGCTAACAAAAAGTAATAATAAAAATATCAAAAGATAATAGACAATAAAAGTAGCAAAGGCTATCCAAAAGTTTAAAGTAGCCAAAGGTAATTGATGATAAAGTAGCAAAAGGTTAGCTAAAAGCTAAGAGCAACAAAAGGCTAACAAAAACTTATAATAAATGTAGCAAAAGGTAAAAAACAATAAATGTAGCAAAGGCTATCCAAAAGTTTAAAGTAGCCAAAGGTAGTTGATGATAAAGTAGCAAAAGGCTAGATAAAAGCTAAGAGTAGCAAAAGGCTAGCAAAAAGTTATAATAAAAGTAGCAAAAGGTAAAAGTAGCAAAAGGTAATAAACTATAGAAGTAGCAACGGCTAGCAAAAATTTTAAAGTAGCCAAAGGTAACTGATGATAAATGTAGCAAAAGGCTAAGCTAAACGCTAAAAGAAGCAAAACATAGTGATAAAAAAGGTAACAAAGTATAAAAAAAGCAAACAAAAATATAACAAGTTCAGGCATACTGACACAGATTACAAAGAGAACAAAGGTTTGTCAGGAGATCTCAATTCATTTCTATGTGGTAAAATTTTATAAAAACATGTCCATATTCTGAAAATCAACAAAGTCACAAAAATCACAAGTTGCATCACCCTTCTCTTTAATGAGCTGAACCTTTGGATTTATGTAACACAGGAAAACACACAAACTAAGTGGAAAACAATACTATGACTACTGAATCAGCTTTTTATCATCTATCTGGTCCTAATGCAGTTGTTGGGCATTAAGAAGTTTCCTGTAGTTTTGTATTAAAATTTTCATGAATTCAATTTGACACTTTATCCTTTACAGGATATTTAGGTGCTTGGATTGAATGCAGCTGCACTCAAGGACCTAATTAAAACTGCAAAAACAGACAAACAATTGAAATAAGTTTAAAAGAAGCAAAGCTTGTTGGTTTAGGAGGAGGAGGCTGGATCTGAAGCCTTGATGTTTAGCAGGTATCGTATGGTCTTTGTTTTGTCTCGATACACAAAATTTGACAAGAAACACGGTTGTGAGTAAACCCTTCCTTCCCTGATAGTCTAAACACAGATCGTGCAACACACACACACACACACACGTGATTGCACATATCCACTCTCAAAGCCACAGGACTGATCATACTTCCCAGTGGGGTTGTGTGATTATAACATAAACAAAATGGAAGGCAAAGAGGCAGATCAGGCCTCTGTAATCACCTGAGTGTCTGCAGGCCTGAAGGTGCGCCTGATTTTGTTCTAGGGCCTTCCCCCGTCTCTCGTGTAAGACAAGCGCCGGGCCCTGCTATAAAGTCGAGCTCCTTTGTTGAACCATAACATTGCTCACCGCCGCCACCCCCTGCGCCTCCCCCAGCGAACCCGCTGCCGTTTAGAATAACAGATGAATAAATGGACGAGGGGGGAAAAAACAGTAGAACTGAAACCACAGTGGAACTCTGCGATGGTCAGCCAAGCCCACCACGCCTCAGCAAATGTTTGTCCAAACCTGTTATTTCTGGCATTGTACTGTCTCAAAGAGATCATTTCATTCTCCGAGAGGAATGCAGCAGCTATAAATAGTCTGCAGATGAAGGAGGGGAAATCAGAGATTTGTAGAGTAATTACAGAGCCGGAGTTGAACCCTTCTGTTATGGTTCATTTTTCATCAACCTCTGTCTCCATGACTGTCTGACTGACTGACCGACTGAGGTGAAGCGGACATTTTCTCAGAGGGACATGCACATCTGATTTGATATTTGACCTCTCGTCTCTTCGTTTACTGTAATTTACTCTTTGAGGCTGGGCTCTGATTGTATATGCGCTTGTCATAAAACTCAAAACAGCCAGACGGATCGCCCCCGACAGCACTCGGGTCTTAATGGTCTTTAAGGAATACAAAAGGATGTTTAGCTCGTAAATGGCTGTAATTATCAAACATACCCTTCTCATCTCGCACAGTCAGACCTCGTTGGCACGTTCCACCCGGTAATTAGAAAAAGCTGCAGATGAGTGACAAGTAATGGTGTGGCCCACATTACGCAGATGAGGCCGGTAATGGTGGGAAACGAACAAGGCAGGCTATGAAGATTTCAGTTGAAAATGAAGAGGATGTTTGTTTAAAAAAATGTAAGCCTCCACTGTTTATAATACTGCTCTAAAATCTGCTTTTCTTTCACCTGCAGTCTCTTGGTTTGTCTTTGTAGAGTCACTTTGTTGTGGTGTGAGGGGGAGAAGGGAAAGGTGGGGGTGTGAGATGGAAATGACAGTGTTTCTTAGTTGCCAATCAGAGGCAAATTACAGCTCCATCAGGCACCCGGGAAACGTCTAAAGTAGTTGAAACCAAGACTGCTTTACCCATTTATTTGTTTTCCACAAACCCATTATATGAATCGTTATTCCCACTAAGTGTTTTAATGAACAGCGGTAACATGTCTGACAGGTTTTAAGATCAGTTGGTTTCATTAGGATGAAAAGAAACAAGGTTTTTATTTGCTGCTAAATGTCGCCCTCATCTGGACAAAAGCGAGTACTGCAAAACTGAAGTGTTGGATTTGACCATAAATTTTTTATCACTCTTTTATTATCTGTCGCCAAAGGCAGACAATGTTTTTTGTTCGTGTGTGTGTGTGTGTGTGTGTGTGTGTGTGTGTGTGTGTGTGTGTGTG